AAAATTTTGGGAAAATTGGGATAAAATTAAGGAAAAAATGAAAAAAAAATGAGGATTTTTCCCATATTTTTGTGATTTTTTAATTACAATTATTCCATAAAAATTTTGGGAAATTTGGGATAAAAATAAGGATAAAAATAAGGAAAAAATGAGATTTTTTTCCTTAATTTTGTGATTTTTTAATGAGAATTATTCCATAAAAATTTTGGGAAAATTGGGATAAAAATAAGGATAAAAATCAGGAAAAAATGAGATTTTTTTCCTTATTTTTGGGGTTTTTTTATGAGAATTATTCCATGAAAAATTTGGGAAAATTGGGATAAAAATAAGGATAAAAATAAGGAAAAATAAGATTTTTTTCCTTAATTTTGTGATTTTTTAAAGAAAATTAATCCCTAAAAATTTGGGGAAATTGGGATAAAAATAAGGAAAAAAATGAGATTTTTTTCCTTAATTTTGTGATTTTTTAATGAGAATTATTCCATAAAAATTTTGGGAAAAATCGGGATAAAAATAAGGAGAAAAATGAGATTTTTCCCTGAATTTTGGGATTTTTTAATGACAATTAATCCCTAAAAATTTTGGGAAAATTGGGATAAAAATAAGGAAAAAAATGAGATTTTTTTTCCTTTATTTTGTGATTTTTTAATGAGAATTATTCCATAAAAATTTTGGGGAAATTTGGGATAAAAAAAAGGAAAAATTAAGGAAAAAAATAAGGAAAAATCTCATTTTTTAAGACAATTAATCCCTAAAAAATTTGGGAAAATTGGGATAAAAATAAGGAAAAAAAATGAGATTTTTTTCTTTATTTTTGGGGTTTTTTAATGAGAATTATTCCATAAAAAATTTGGGAAAATTGGGATAAAAATAAGGAGAAAAATGAGATTTTTCCCTGAATTTTGTGATTTTTTTATGACAATTAATCCCTAAAAATTTGGGAAAATTGGGATAAAAATAAGGATAAAAATGAGATTTTTCCCTGAATTTTGGGATTTTTTAATGCAAATTAATCCCTAAAAATCCTGAAAAATTCAGGATAAAAAGGAGATTTTTTTCCTGAATTTTGGGATTTTTTTCCCACAAAAAAATCTGGGAATTCTCTGGGAATTCTCACCTTGTTCATTGTAGACGTGGCCACAAACCCGGATTTGGGAATTGTCATTCCGGAGTCTTTTCCCGACCAGTTCCGTGATATCCAGGAAATTCTCATCCAAGCCCAACCTTTCCACCAGGGGACAAAATTCCTCCAGCAACTCTGGAAAAATAGGGAGAAAAAAAAGGGAATTTTAAGGATTTTCATGGAATTTTTAAGGAATTTTTAAGGATTTTTTAAGGATTTTTTAAGGATTTTTTAGGGATTTTTAAAGGATTTTTAAGGAATTTTTAATGGGATTTTTAAGGGATTTTTAAAGGATTTTTTAAGGATTTTTTAAGGATTTTTAAGGGATTTTTAAAGGAATTTTTTAAGGAATTTTTAATGGGATTTTTAAGGATCTTTAAGGGATTTTTTAAGGATTTTTAATGGGATTTTTTAAGGATTTTTAATGGGATTTTTAAAGGATTTTTAAGGGATTTTTAAGGGATTTTGAGGGATTTTTAAGGAATTTTCTAAGGATTTTTAAGGGACTTTTTAACAAATATTTTAAAGGATTTTTAAGGATTTTTAAAGGGATTTTTAAAGAGATTTTTAAGGATTTTACAAAGGGATTTTTAAAGGAATTTTTAAAGGATTTTTTAAGGACTTTTTAAAGGATTTTTAAGGATTTTTTTAAGGAATTTTTAAGGGATTTTTAAAGAACTTTTTAAGGATTTTTAAGGATTTTTAAAGGAATTATTAAGGGATTTTTAAAGAATTTTTTAAGGGTTTTTATGGGATTTTTTAAGGGATTTTTTAAGGAATTTTTAATGGGATTTTTAAAGGGATTTTTTAGGGATTTTTAAGGATTTTTTAAGGGATTTTTTAAGGATTTTTAAAGGACTTTTTAAGGATTTTTAAGGGATTTTTAAGGGATTTTTTAGGAATTCAAAGGATTTTTAAGGACCAAATTGCAAAAATCCCTTAAAAATCCCTTAAAAAACCCTTAAAAATCCCTTAAAAATCCCTTTAAAAATCCTAAAAAATCCCTAAAAAATCCCTTAAAAATCCTAAAAAACCCCTTAAAAATCCTAAAAAACCCCTTAAAAATCCTAAAAAACCCCTTAAAAATCCCTTTAAAAATTCCTAAAAAATCCCTTAAAAATTCCCAGCCTCTCCCCCCCCCCAAAAAAAATCGGGAATTTTGTACCTGTAACTTTATAAGACATTTCCCTGTAAGGAGTTAAATCCTCTCCTTTCACCAGGACGAGCTGAGGGCATTTTTCCTTCGCCTCCCGGACCGACATCAACTTCCCAATCCCAAATTTTCTCGCCTCGTAGTTACACGTGACCACGAGGGATTTTTGTTGCACCCCTAAAAATAAAATTTAAAAAAAAAAACTGTGGAAAAATAAGGTTTAAATCCCATTTTTTTCGGCGCTTCGCCGCGTCTCCCTCATGACCTCCCGCCCTTAAAACGCTCCCAATTCGCGCTCCGGGAGGATTTAGGAGCCTCTCCCGCGTTTAATTTAACCCCTAAATTAATTAATCACTTAATTTAACCCCTAAATTAATTAATTTTACCGAAAGGTTTGGATTTTAAGTCGGGATTCCGCAGCGCTTCCACCTGCGCGTAGAAACAATCCAGGTCCAGGTGCACGATCACTCGGCCCCCTGCGACAAAACCGTTCCGCTTTTTATCTTATTTTTAATTAATCCGCTTTTATTTTATTTTTAATAAACGATAAAGCATCAAATCCCAACTTTTTTTAGGAAATTCGAGGTTATTTAAGGCTGAAAATCCCAAGGAAAAGGGACCCCCCCTCCCGTCCCCGTGAGGGAGTTCCCGCCAATTCCCCCCCCCGCCCTCGGGAAAATCGGGATAAAAATATGGATAAAAATGAGATTATTCCCTGAATTTTGTGATTTTTTTTTAAAATGCACATTAATCCCTAAAAACCCTGGGAAATTTAGGGTAAAATTCAGGATAAAAATGAGATTTATCCCCTTGAGGGAGTTCCCGCCAAT